GCCCAAAAGAGCTCTCAGATCTGAGTACAGCGCGAGACCGTAAAAGATGCTACCCTACGAAATTTACGTAATATCGCCACTGCACGTCTTCGTTATTCGTTGTGCGATAATGCACACATGCTCGCATGAACCTATAAACTTTTACGAGCACCACAAGGATAAGGGCACAATTTAGGCCACCGACAATATGAATATTGCAACGGAAGAAGGGACCAGTCATTTGGCCTTCTGCGCTTGAACACCAGAGCCTGGAGGGTGGTCACCAATAAGAATGGCTGAGGCAGCGCTAAGACTTTGTGATGACGCTCGCCACGTGCTATAATTGCAATAGCGCTCCAATCCTATAGACGCGGGAGTAGCTGCTAAAGAGAATCGGTCGGCGCCGGCCGTTTGTGTTTTAGAGTGCAGGATAACAGGAAGCAGCTGCTGCCTTCATACAGTCTGGTACTCTCTCATTCCTTTATACTCTTCCAAAGCCTAGCATCCAGCGCTGATCGATACGAGACTGCGCGATTAGGCAGCGCGTACCCTCCTGTTCCCTCTCCCACACTCTCTCAGCGTACAAGCGGCCGGCGCCGATCGATTCCCGTCAGCGGTTGCGTTCTCTTCTACAGGACTGGAGCGCCGTTGCAACTGTAGCGCGTTGACACGCGTTACAGAGTGACATCGCGAAGTCTGAACACTACGAGAAGGAGCTAGGGGGTTGGAAATTGTCAGAGTACTTTCATGGTAAAACACTCGGTGTCAGCATACACAAAATCGATTTAAATACAGAGCATATGAGATGCGAATGACCCCATTCCTAGAACCTCTTTTGTCGTCCTCGCTGTGGCTCGGATGTGTTGATCTACACCCGGAGGATTGAGAAGACTTTTTATCGCAGGCAATCCTTTATCTCAGAGCGTCTTCACTCCATAGAGCGGGAGCTCCTGTTCAATGGTTCAGCAAAAATATGATTTTTTTCGAACGAGCGCCCACTGTTTCCATTTGATCAATCCCCTTCTCCCAACAAAACCAGAAGGAGGTTTCCACCAATTTAGTTGCTAGAGGCAAATAATAAGCCCTTTATAGTAACCCCTGACCACCTCGCGAAGGGCAATTGTCTGAATAACCGAAACTGTGGATCCATTTCAAGAACATTTTATTGTGCTGCTGATGGGATGCTATATTTGGAGCTGCTGCCGGACAGGCAATCACATTCGTTCACAAGATAGCACCGAGTGCTCTCAGCTATCAAAAAAAGGGACGCGAGAAAGTAAAAGGTTACTTTTCTCCATGACAACGCCGACACCGCCGTTAATTGCCACGCGCCAGGCACCGACCACCGACCAGCTGGACAACGGCACCGCCCGAAAGCGAGCGACGAAAATCCGTGAACTGCCGTTGGCGTCGCGCGCGCGCAGGGCGCGGGCTTTTTCCTTAATTCCGACCATCCCTTCGTCTGCGAGCGTCCGATTTCATGGTAGACAAGGAAATGGTAGTTTTCGTGCACTACTTGGTCTTCGTCTCGCACCAAATGCAAACTAAAGACAGTGCATCATTGTCTGGCCGGACGGTCGCACGCGACCGCCGCTCAGTTGGCGGCACTATGATTCTCTTGCCGCATACTCCAACGACGCCCCACAAACCGCACTCTCCCCTACCTAAATCCTTTCAGATCCCATTTTCTCCCTTCCAAGAAGAGGTGTCACAACGAAGGAGCTTTCAAAATTCGGGATGCAATTCTCTTGCTGAATGTCCCTCTCATACGATGACCCGACTTTTCGCGCAAGTGAGGCATCTAGAAACTGTTTCGTGCTCGTCTTTCCAGAAAACCAAATCTCTAAAGATGGTTCTCTTAAACGATTCCTTATAATACCAAATCACCTATTCTTCTCGAAAAGGTGAATCGACGGTATTGATAAGCCTTCTTGTGGCAGAGCACGTTTCGACACAAGAAACAAATTATGACGTGGACTGCACACACAACAACTAGCGGAATCAAAAAGGTACGAAAGAAAAGAAGAAAGGAGAAATGATGAGTGAGGCCGAGAAAGGGTCTTGTAGAAAAGAAATCTAATGAGATCAACTCAAAGGATGAATTTTATTCAAAGTAAGCATGTACAAACGACCTCACTCATGGTCTAATTCAACTGGTGCTCAAAAATGCCTTTGTTGAAAAGCCACCTAGTTTCAATCTAACCATAATTTTCTTTGTATTTAGTGAAGAACCAGATCAAAATTCTCTCTCCACCAGCCAGCGTTTTCTATCACTCCCAACAAAATAGTAAGCAAATCCATGCAAATGACTAGCGAGCGGTGGAGCTACGGCAAGCACAACGCTAGAACAATTGCTCGGTAAAGGTTGATTTTGGAATGATTCAAGTAAGAGCGAGTTCAGACTTCGCGATCGAGCGACTGAACCGCGCGATCATGACCTGGGGCGCTCCACCGCCAAACGGTGCACCGTCGCAATAACTCATACTGGGGAGGCGGCCGTTTGGCGCCATCACATTACATACATGTAGTGACAAGTAACGGCACGTTTCCGCAATGTTGGACAACTCGTCCGAATGGACAATGTGCGAGGTTTTCGTAAGTGAGAGGCAATATGATGTCGTGGGGGTTATCTGCGGCGTTCTTACTTTTCATCCACGGCATCCCCAATGACCATTCAGGGAAAAAGTTGTGGTTTCCAACTCTGGACGAGTTGCCCTCCCTGGAAGACGGGTTCCGACATGTTTCGACACCTTTTCGGTACGTTTTCGGCCGCCAAATGACATACATCCCTCATATTTCACTGTGTGAATGCGGCCCACATTTGAATTGCGGTGCACCGTTTGCGTGGAGCGCACGCGATCGTGGTCACGCGGTTGGATCGCGCGATTCAACCGCTCGATCGCGAAGTCTGAACACTCTAAGACTATAAGAGGTTCCAGCGAGCAGCAAATGCATGGAACTCATTTCAATATGTAGCGTTTTGCAAGCATGAGGATAGCTGAGAGATTTTCGAAGACTAAATGAGCTGTATTACACGACTAAACCGTTTCCATGATTAATCTCAGCGGAAGAATTCGAGAGAGTTCGTGCAAGAGGCATTCTCGTTCAACAGTATCAACTGGAGATTTGGTGGGGACCACCCACTGAATGGTTGTTCAAATGGTCTGTATATCTCTTGACACTGAAGTAGTCAAGCAATATACAGACCATTTGAACGACTAATATTTACAGCTATACCATTTGCAGATTAAGAATTCTTGAAAGTACCTTGTTTTTAGGAGGAGCAGGAGGCAGAGTCGATGTAGAAGCGATTAATTCAAGATCATCCTCGGGTGAAGGTATAGGCCCACCTGCCATGGTTCGAAGAAAGTCGCTCATTTCATTTTCTTTACGAGCAACGCTGAAACTACGACACTCAGAAGAATTCGAAACATCAATTAAAGGTGCCGACTTACGCTGTTTGAAGGACTTTCCTCTTCAGCAAAGTTGGAGGCATTCCTACAAGACGCTTCTTAATGGCATTTGCGGCACGTTGATTAGGAGATTCACCCAGCGTCATTCTCTGAAGTAGCAGCAAGAGGTACAGGATAAGACCACGAAACGTGGGTTACTAACCCGAACTTTCGTAGGTGGAGCCCCGACCATTCGAGGCTTAGGGGCGGCAGGAACCGGAGCAGGAGGCTCACTGATTGTCTTGGCCACACTTGTACTCGATGTTGGAGCTACAGCAGGGTCTTCAACAACCTCCACATCATCATCACTCGATATTTGGGGCCGTTTCTAGACAGAGGAACTTATTCAGAGAATAATGCCGGTGCGGCAAGTATCCACTCACTGTGCCTTTCTTGTGTGGCTGAGCATCATCTGCGTCAGAAATATCCGAATCATTCACTTCATCGTGCTTGGTCTTGAATTCCAATTTTCCACGATTCACATAGAACCCTCCTTGAACGGTGTCCATTGTGGAAGGTATGAGTTCATCGTACTAAATTCCAATAATTTCGGAAAGAATGCCGTGGCAGAATGACCATGCAATGAAAAAATGGTTTCACAATTCTCACCGCTTCTGAGTCATCAATGAAGTCGTCCTCCAAGTCATAGCCTGCTCTCTTATCCATATAATCGTCCTCGGTACCAAAACAGAGCTTCCGACCCTTCTTATTCTTTTTACCACCCTTAATGTTACAATTGATTTTTCTCAGCAATGTATGAAAACACATCCGTTCTACTCTCGAAAGCAAAGAAAACACCCAGAAGTCGTGAAACTGCCCCCTCTCATCATGTATTGCTTAGCGTTCTCACATATTTGGCCTCTAATCGTTTCACTATCTCCAGCGCTTCTCTGTCATGAAACCGTTCATCGTCACCACTGGAGTCGTCTTCTTTCTGGAAAAAAACAATTTTTTTTTGCACGGGCAGTGTGATCAGTTCTAAATAGTTTTGGAAAGACACGAACCAGTTGTTTTTTCCTGATTTCTTCGTAATCAAATTCGGAGTATTTCTTTTTACCGGGCTTGAACAAGGATAATTCTACTATAGAATATTTACTCTTATCATTAGGCTTCTTTTTATTTCCTCCGAGATCCAACGCCATCCCGCGATGATCCTGGCGAGAGATGCACCTGAAAATACGTGCCTCCAAGAACAGAATGGAAAATCAATACACATTTAAAATGATGATTAGATTAGTTTCGAGTGAAGCTACAAATAGCCCACAGTAACAGTTTGTCGTTAAATAGCAGATTAAGAAAAGCCAGGGTCGACACCAAGCAACCTCCCACATGCCGGTGTATGTGCCAAAATGCGAATTTACTACTTTTGCTACGCAGCGAAATGCGTCCCTCGCTGAATATTAGACGCAGACATGCTGCGAGGCGCCGCAAATGACGTCATGGCGGTCAGCTGGCCATTGCCCACCCACGATCAAATCGATCAACCACCCATGGTGTACGATGGGCCGCCCACACAATCTGGAACCGCCTCCTGCTTTCATCTTACCCAGGTTGATGCTGTTCTTTCGCTTCACCTGTACAAAGTTTGCTTGTCATCTTGACTAAAGGAAGGTTTATATGAGTGGAACATTCGCCATAGTCTTCCCTCATAAAGGCTGGGAGGGAATGGCAAGCAAATCAACGTTTATGAACGGTTTTTCACTAGCTGCATTTTGATAGCTTTTTACTACCTGCTGCACGCTTCATTTGTTGATGGCACTCTTTTTTTATACAGTGACGCCCATGACAATTCTCTCAGTTTTCCGCGTTCACTCTAACTTGAGCACCACTTTCTCCAATACATCTGAACCTATTAGTCGTTGAAGGATCAGGACACTTCCACCTTTTTGGTGATGTTTATCTATGCCATGTCCCATTATAGGCCGAAATTTCTGCATTTTCGTCTAATCTATTCAATTGAGCATCGGTAGCATTGTGATGCTCTGAATCACAGAGCATCCTCCAGTTTTGAGCGCTTTTCCGGGTTCAGATACCCTTTTTGTTCAGTTTAGTGCCTCTTGTCTGCAACTTCACCTTTGAAATTGTTACTGGAGCACATTTTCTTATTTAACGTGACTTCGCGCAGCGGCTTACGGGCAACTTGGGTTTTCAACTGGTGGAATCATTTTTAGACCACCTCCATCTGGCGTCCAGGAAGACCCCCCTTAAATTTTTTTTGGTAAAGACTTGTTTTTGATCCTTCTGTTTTATGTTGGTTTTTGTTATTTGAGATCTCAGCCACAGTTTGCAAGGCATCATACATATATTGCAAAATCCATTTATATTGAGGTAAAAGGCTCACGGTTTTTCAATAGTCTTGTTTAATCAGAAGAAAACACGAGGATTATATTGTCTAAGAGTCTTTATTCTGACGCGGAGTTATTAATACCAAGTTCTTGTGAACGACTACTCTTCAATCGAATATAAGTACCAGTTTATCTGCCGAGATCTTCAGCACAGATTTGTTTTCCCGTGGTCCTATGTTTTGCTGGGTTTGTATGGAAAAATCTATGGAATTTCTGGTCAAGATGAACTCAAAATTTGAAGTTGCACTATACGACCAAAGTGCCGCCATATTCTTGTTATTTTCCATCTTGATCGTTTTATGTACATGAAATGGAACAACTGCTGTAGTGATTCTGTAGTGAGACCGCGTTCAGACTTTACGAATGAGATGAATGCGAGATTCGGGTGAACGCGCGATCCGCCCTTGGATGAGTCAATCGATACCAACCTAGTCCTTTGTCGCTTGCTCCCTGAAATCGTCCATTCGCCCAGTCGATCTCTATTTTTCCCTCTGTGCACATTTCTCTTGCTCGCTCGTCCCTCCTAAGTGTATGACATACTCGAACCCCTCTCATACTCCATCGTTCTTCACATGAGATAACACGCCGTTTTTTGAGAGGACCTCAAAGGCAGTTGGCACGATAAGCCTCCGAGACGTGCAGGACTAATACGTCTAGCACTGACAGGATTCGGCGCCCCTGAGCAGACGCTGCCGTGCGCCTTTTCCAAGGAAGGTACCCTTATAGCGCCCTATCAAGCTGCAACATACCGACCCGGACGCCCACCGCGCGCCCGCCCACAAATGTCCGACCGATGCTGATGCTCGTATCGCTTCATTTGCGAAGTACAATATGAAGCGAAGGGATTGATATGAAGCGGCTGCGGTGCTGCATGGATATATGAGTACATACGTGCAGCCGTATCTACCGTAGCGGTTATTGGCACGATGCCAGTGGCGAACTCGTCCGAAATCGCCTTTCTAGTTGTGTAAGACAGAGGCTTTTTTTCAAAGTTTTGACCGTTATACTTCCGGGATTCCTTGCGATGGGGTCGTATTTGACCACTGGAGGGAGGGGTTGGCGTAATTGTCATTGAGAAAATTGTTTTCGGTTGTTGATTTTTCTTGTTTTTGTTCAAGTGTGCTCTATACACCGTTCCACTTCCCTCCCACCTGGCACCCACCCCTCGCTCAGTAGACAGAGAGGGTCGTCATGGAGGAGGATCCCCTCAGAAGGATCCTATTTTGCAAGTATTTTCGCTAACGGCTGCCCTTGTTAATGTGCAGCTGTTGGTATACAGTCAACTTGAATTTAATCCTTTTGATTTACGCGATTTCGTGTTCAGTAAGTTGTGTACCATCTGTACGTAACTTCTCCGTTCAGAATATGGGTATTTCTGCCACGGAGTCGAAACAAATAAGAGGAGAATTTCTGCAGTCAGCTGCTGATCTGTTTGAGCAAGTCCTCTCGAAACCACCCACACCGAACATTGTGGAACTCTGGAATGAGCACAAAGAGATCAGAAAAGTTCTGGATGACATCACAAGCAGACAAGCTAAACTCTCTGACACCGACGTTCAGCTGTTGAAAGCTCGGTTGGTTTTCTGGTTTTTACTTACTTTCGTTTAGTCAGGTATTTGTTTTCTCATATTATTATTCTGACAAATGACTGCAACTTCCCATGAGACTTTGGTAAAATGGTATAGCTACCAGCTGACGACCGCTTATTACAACTATGGAAACACTCTTGGAAGCGCTACGTTACGTTACGCGTTACGTTAAGTTACGAGCGTTGGAACTACCTG